TGATGCCAGGGCACTCTACCCAGGAGGACAGCTTGAGGCTCTGTCTCAAAAAGAAAAAAAAAAATAGCCAGGTATTGTGGTGGGCACTTGTAGTCCCAGCTACTGGGGAGGCTGAGGCAAGAGAATTACTTAAGCCCAAGAGTTTGAGGTTGCTGTGAGCTATGACACTATGGCACTCTATCAAGGTTGGCAAAGTGTCTCAAAAAAAACAAAAACAAAAACAAAAACAAAAAAACTGACCTTTCTAATCCTTTCTGATCCAAATCTGAAAAGCACTTGGAAATCTGAATGTTTAGTAAGATAAAAATAACTCTTCATAAAAGCCATTGTTTCCCACACAGAAAACCTGCAGGTTCGATCTAAGATGTGCTTCAGGAGTGAGTAGAGCAAAGATGACCTCAGTACATCTGCAGTCATAGCTCCAAAGTGGCTGGTGTTAAGATGATGCCCCAAACAATGCCGCAGGGCGTGGAGAAGCCTTGAACACACTTGCTGGAATGCACCAGTGACCTGTAGTGGGAGCCCCTGGGCACACAGCCCCAAGGGAGCAACCCACAGAGAGCAGCAGGGACTAGCAGAGGAAGCAGATCAGAAGTTGGTACTTCCAGGTGGCGTAAGTCTCTGAGACATCTCTGCATATACTATGACAGGGTCAAAGGCTGCCAGAGCTGGGGGCAGAACCCTTGGCCAAGGGACAAGGGGTGAGTCCCAAGGCCATATGGAAAGCAGCTGTATGGGAGATAAGGAAAATTCCAAGCATGATGAGCTCTATGCCTTGTCCTGGAAGTGCCTCCTCTTCCTAAGAAGCTTGCTTCAAGAACAACCAACGGAAGAGCGTGACCATATCCTCCCTTACCCAGACTTCCAGACCATCAGGCAGAGGTGGAGACATGACAGGGCAATGAATCACATTTCTTTCTGCTCAGCTGGTGAAAATGTGCAACAATTTTTTATAATAAACATTTGACTGCTACCTCATTGGGAAAAGCACTGCATGACCCCAACAAAACACAACCAGCTGCAGATTCCAAAATTTAGACAAAAGGACTATTTGTAAAAGCCAAAAGCCAGTACCTACACATTTACAGCCAAGCAGTCTAGGCATATTGACTAAGCAGACACTCAAAGCAGCATTTTCTTCTCTTTTTTTATTTTGAAACACAGTCTCACTTTGTTGCCCAGGCTCCAGTGTTATGGCATTAGCCAAACTCACAGTAACCTCAAACTCCTGGGTTCAAGTGATCCTCTGGCCTCAGCCTCCCTAGTAGCTAGGACTACAAGTACCCACCACATGACAACCCACTAATTTTGTTTTGTTTGTTGTTCATTTTTGTTTTGGGCTGTGGCCAGGTTTGAACCTACCACCTCTGGTATATGGGGCCAGTGCCCTACTCCTTTGAGCCAGAGGCATCACCTGACACCCAGCTAATTTTTAGTAGACAGGATCTTGTTCTTGCTCAGGCTGGTCTCCAACTCCTGAACTCAAGAGATCCATCTGCCTCTGCCTCCCAGAGTGCTGAGATTATAGGCATGAGCCATTGTACCCGTCCCAGCATTTTCTTTTCATACCCTTCCTTTGAAGAAATGCAGTTTAAATGCACTTGGCCAGCTTACATTCAGCCAGTAGTAAGATAAGGCCCCACCATTTCCAAAGCAGAAAAACCCAAATCCACTTCAGGTAAGGAATGTTGTCTTGTTGTTGTCCTATAACCATATTTAATAACCTTAACTTATAAAACATTTTTTTTTGAGACAAAGTCTCATTTTTTGCCCCCAGTAGAGTGCTATGGCATCATAGCTCACAGCAACCTCAAACTCCTGGGCTCAAGTGATCCTCTTGCCTCAGCCTTCCAAGTAGCTGGGACTACAGG